AAAGTTGTTCTGCCTTTTTATACAGTGGTTAATATTTATTATTTGTAAGTGTGGAACTGGCAACAAGCAATGCTTATTTTGAACAGTACTACAACATACAAAATATGATAAAATGCTTCAGATATTCCTTTATATCACCAGAAAAATTTTATGGGTCCTGTAAAAGACTTGATTTTAATTCAATTGGTGGTTACTTCTTGCCTAAAGACAATATCACTAAGGCTATATATATATATATATATATATATATATATATATATATATATATATATGATTAATTTCTTCTCTCCTTACTTTCAATTTGATATTAGTAGACAAAACAATTATTTGAGAAATTCTACACAGAATTCAGACAATCAGAAGATATTTCTGAATAAATCCCAAATAAATTGGAATGGTTATCATCAGGAGATGCTTCTTGGTCTTCTTCATTATCAGAAACAAACGAATTTTCTTCAGCAGCAATTTCAACATCCATAGAGTTTGGATCCGAAATTTCAGTTGTAGCAGGAGTTGAAGGATCCATTGTGTCAAGAGAATGTGGATTCTGAGCAACTTCCTCTTCAAGGCACTCGTCACCCTGGTCAGCCTCTTCAGCACTGGCAGCACCAACCTGTTCAGTATTTTCTGCAACCCCCAACTTGTTAGGGTTCAATAGAGCCACGTCTCCCAACATTTCCAAATTATAAGTGATGCTCACTTCTTCTTCTCCTCCACCCACTCCGCTGTTTGTTGCTGCAGCTGTAGCTGCATTTTCAGATGCTCCCACATTGTCAGGAGCTTGTTCAGCATTTCCAGAGGTTTCTGGACTTCTAGAATTGGTTGCACTCATTGCATTAGTGTCGATAACCTGCTCGATCAGGTTAACACTTTCATAGCGCACCGTTTGCAAACGCAAAAAACCATCGGAATGCATTATGTATCTAAAATGAAAAAGCAAAGAATTTGAAATCAAAAGTTAACATTAAAAGGTAATATTAAATTATTTGATGAATTTCAGAAGGAATGTTTCCATTCAAAGAGTAGACAGGCTAAGTCCTATAAAACACACATGGGAGAAAGAAAATTGAATCAAGAGTTATATTTATATAATAACTCATGAAAAAGATATTTGTTTTGTATTTACATAAACAAAAACAATTTTGCAAATATTTCAATGTATATCTGTAATGTTTTCACAAAGCAATTTTTAAAGAATTAATGGATTTTATTTTTTAATGAGACATCTTTATTACTTCAAATGTTATTCTTGGAGAGATCCATATTTAAGTAGATGCTCCGTTTAAAAAAAAAAGAAAAAAAAAAGCGGGGCCAGTAGACAATGTTAATAATGTTAAAAAAAAAAAACAAAAGTGTCTACTCAAATACAGGTAACCATCAAAAATAATGTTTGAAATAATAAAAAATATTATGGGAGATGAAGAAAAGTGGCTAAAATGTAAAGCAGAGAGATTTACTTAGAAGAGGATTCAACACAAACATTTGGGAAAAAAAAAAATCTTCAAAGAATTATTGGCCATAGTAAATTATTACTAACTTATAACAAATACTTTTATTGAACCAAAGAAGAACAGGATTGGATTTACAAAACATAATATCAATGATGGGCGGGGCAAGATTTGTGCTGAAATTGAGTGGAAATGATTGGAATGGATCCAGAAACAGAAGAATTTCTAAAACCCTAAAATATTTAATATTAAAAACAATATCACATTTCTGTAACTTGTTACTAGGAATGAACTGAATCAGCCATTCTTAGAGGCCATTATTTTCTTTACTTATGAAAAAGAGAAATTCACACATAAAAGTTTATAAATTGGTTAGCCAAACAACAAAAAGGAGCTTAATAATCCAGAAAACTCTTGGAATTATGGCTTTTCTCAGAATTATAGACTTAATATTAAGTGTGACACTATGATTGTAACACCCACATAGAAAGGAGGAGGGTGTGTGATTTTAGCCTGATATAAAGTGTTCTGTGTTTTCTGACCAGTAATAAAATCTGTGAGATATGGTCCCCAAAACAGATAAGCACTTCACTGAAATGGAATTAATGAAAATGGGTGGGAGGTTCAAGCAACAACACAAACAGGACATTTTATGATTTTCAGTTGCTGGTCACCATTAACAATTACAGTTGAGATTGAAGCAGTGAGTCTTGACCCACCCTTGATAGGAGACAGACAACTGTTTGTTAATATCTCAACCGTTTTAAGTTGACAGCCACACATGATATTGAGATTGGTAGAAGAGTTGAATGGGAAGAGTTGATCTGTTAGTTTGGCATGGCAGAAGAATTTGTCCCCACAAGTGTCATCTAACTACCAACCCAGACTGAGTAAGTGAAGCTCTGAATAAACATCTAAATATATTGTAAAGAGGTTTCAAGTCATCATTTTTTTACTGTGGCATTTATTTTTCACCTTTCAATTTCCTTGGGAGCTTGCAGTAGGAGTTAACCAGTTTTTGGTGCATACAAATGGGGATGGAAACTCAATATGGAAGGATAGTCATTGGTCAGTTGATGGAATGCTGGATGAGGACCCTGTTGTATATCTACATAAACAACAATTTAATAAGTTCAGTTTTGGCTGGTAGTGATACAACAACAGGACATTCTTAGAGGATTGAACTCAGTATTTAAAAAAAAATGATTTGAGAGATCAACTTGTTAACTATTACACTATAGAAGGTGCCCTAATTAATGGATTATAGGTAGAATTGCTAATTTTTATCCAATTTTTTATATATATATATATATATATATATATATATATATATATATATATTATTTTTATTTAAAATATGATTAAAAAAGCGACATAAAAGTCTCATGTTTCAAAATTTTTATATAAAAACTTCAATATAATTATTTAAATTAAATTGTGTTAAAATAAGCTATTCCATCTTCAAAAAAATTTTTTTGGAATAAGCTTATTTTAATCAATTTAATTTAAATAATTTAAAAGTTTTTCAGATTGTTTTTTGAAACATGAGACTTTCTTATGTCGATTTGGAATCATATTTTTAAATAAATAATTATATATATTTATTGTTTATTTTACTTCGAGCACTATTTTTAAAAAATAATAACTAAAATACTAAGGGACTTTGGATTATTTACCTAACCAGTTCCTTCCTATTTTCTATATTTTTTCACACACACATACACACACACATATATATAAGGTAAATAATCCAAAGTCCCTTAGTATTTTAGTTATTATTTTTAAAAAATAGTGCTCGATACAAAAGTAGAAGATGGAACGGAGCCCATTTTACTTTCAACTCAATTTAATTTAAAGGATTATATTGAAGTTTTCGGCTCTTGTTTTGAAACATGAGACCTCTTATGTAGCGATTTGGAATGATATTTTTAAATAAATAATTATATATATATATATATATATATATATATATATATTTTCAATGTTTTTTGAAATAACATTGAATATATTTTTATATTTTCAACTCCTGGAATAAAATTTTTCCCATAGTATTGATGGAAAGCGTTGGCAGATTTGTTTTTATAAAGTACTGTTTAATGTACGGGGAGGAAGAATGCTGTTAAATGTATATTGTGACATAATTACTAGCATGTATTTTAAAAGCAAAAATTTTACAATGCCCAAAACAGAAGTTTAATTTTCGTATTTTGATGTCAGTCAAAAAGAAAAAAAAGAAAACTTACCTGAATCTTGAATAACCAGATGGCCATTTATAATTGTGACTTGTCTGCAAATGTTTTGTGAGAAAGTTCCCCCTTATGAAACGTTGGTTACAAACATGGCAGGCGTATCGACGTGTATCAATGCCCTGCAATAGAAGACAAGAATTCCTGTAAATACATCAATTAACAAAATTGAAAAATTTAAATACTGCACAATAATCTGTGCAGGATTCTTTTTCAGCTAAAACATCAGAATTTCTCCCAATTTCACTCGTTTTTTTTTTTTTTTTTTTTTTACACAGAATGCCCATAATTTCCATTTTGTTTTTTTTAAAATCAAAAGAATTATTTTTTTTTTCAGGTTTGTAAAATAACTGATATCTAAAAAATAAATATGATACACTTTCAAGATATTAAATCTCATTCCACAAAGACAACAAAATAGATTTTTACTTTGAATTTTGATTGTAAATAACTTGAACTAATCCTTTCATGAATATGTGTGCGTATTTGTCAAAGTGTAATGTTTCTTTTGTTTTTATTTGAAAGGATTAATGTGACTGCCACATATGACAATAGCATCTGTACTTTCAAAGGATATCTCCATGCAGACACATACGTGACAGGGTGCTGAAAAATTCTCATCTCATGATTAAAACAATTTCAGGAAAGAAAATAAATAATAATTGATGTTTGGCCATCTGGTAAGATTATGGGAAATGGATCATGTTGAAAAGTTTTTATCAACCCAGTGTGTGTATCCATGTGTGGAGAGAGAGGTGTGTGTGTGAGTGAGAGAGTGAGAAGTAAAATAAAATAAAAAGTACAATAATATCAGATGTTGGAGAGTTTTTCATAGAATGAACAATTTTCTTTTTCACCAAGTTTAGAAAGTTTTACCACATATTGGAAATTTATTTTTTGTAGACAAACATTAATTTTTTTTTTTAAATAAGAAAGATGAAGCTAGCAGGGAGACATCCAGATTAGCTCCTATTGTCTTAGATATAGTCGAGTCCTTGGCTTTGGGAAATAACCTAAAACAACAAGCATGAGACAAGCTGATAAAGAAAGATTAATTACTGGAAATCCTTATTTTGCCTATGCATTCTAAAAGTCTGGATTCATCACAATTGTACCAGTCTTTGGAAATGAGCTGAGGGTAGATGCTGAGAAGGTGGGAGAAGGGAGAGAGAGAGAGAGATTAGCATTGCCTATAGAGAATGATGGTGCAAGATAAGAAGTGAAGGGAGTTGGAATTAAGGGGCAGCTTGATTCCTCTGACCACTCTAAAAAGGCAACTGGACAACACCTAAATTTTGGAAAAAGGTTGATGCTAAGGGTGGAAGATAACCCTACCCCAGACCCTGGTCAACCCCACACCAGCTAGATGCAAGACTCCATACAGAGTTCTCACATTACTGCTACTGAAATCTACATTGTTTGCCAAAACCTCCTGACCAAGATGTTATGCCAGCCCAGAAGACCAGAACTTAGAAATTTAAATTACTACTAACCACAGGCTGTAAATTCCAAAAGGGGATCCCAGTGTCATTTAATTATAATAGAAGTGTGTGTATGTGGGGGGGGTTAAAACAATTGTATACAACAAATCATACATAAACCAAATGATTGTTACATTTTTAACCAAAGTTAATTTTTTTATTCCGAAGAATTTTTGTGTAGCTCCTCGCCATTGACCTGTACTTCACTTAAGTGTACTTCCTTCGCAATCTTCTCTCATACAACGTGGCAGAGAAGGGAATGGTTAGGAAGCAGATGAATGTCAGCTAAATCAAGTGGTACTGTAATCATCATCATCATCATCATCATAATACCAGCGACAAATGAGTAATGCATTAATGAGTGAGGGGTTAGCTAGATGGTAGTCTGAAGGAGGGTGGGTTACAATATGATGCACTGTTAGTGTTATTTATTTCTGATGGACAGATAAAGATAAATGAAAATATACCATAGATTTTATAAGTATGTGAATGTAAAAGGCTCAGGATGAATGACTCACTTGGTGAATTTTCTGATAATGAGCAGCCAAACATTGATATAAACGTGAAACAAAGCCGCAGCCTTTTTCATGGCACATGAAGACATTCTCAGAATGGGTTTCCATGTGGCGCTGAAGAGTAGCCTGGGTTTTAGTCCTGAAACAGAAAATAATAACTTGGAATTCTCCGAAAAAATATTTCTGATTCTATTATAGGTTGATTTATTTGGGAGGACCCTATAATAGCGAGATCTATATAAGATAGGCATGTTTTCTATATCGACTGAAGTAGAATGTTGACAGCCAGCAAACTAGCATTTCTGTGGCTTGCTTGAGACAACCTATTTAGAGATTATTTTTTTTGTATCTTCTCAGTGTGTCTTCATTTCTGTTGATCAGAAGTTAGTCTGCTAAATAAGAGGATTTAGACATCCAACCTTACCAACATACACACACACACACATATATATATATATATATATATATATATATATATATATATATGATAGCCAAGGAAAATTTGATGAATTTTTCTTTTTGAGTTTTTTTTTCTAGTAGTCATAAATTTTTCTGTTTGGTGGGAGTAAGGGAGTGTAAAAATTACATCTTAAAAGACAACAGGGAAAAGAAATTAATAACAATTAACACCCCCCCCCACACACACACACAGAGAATGGCTAAAAATAAAAGTATTTGGGACAATAGACACTTAGACAATTTTTTCACTTCCTTACCCCCATGAAATAGGAAAAAATTTAAGTTTTCCTTGTCTGTCATATTCAACAAAACATGTTTGAAAGAATAGTTGCTGCTCATATATATATATATATATATATATACACACACACACACACACAAAAGAGAGATTGTCCACATATGCTCGTTACAGAATGTAGGTATCATAGGCTGATGAAAGAAATTTATTAGACAAAGTAGAAGCTTCATGAGAAAAATGCTAAGAAATCAGAATTTCCAGACATGCCTGTGACATTTTGTCAATGAAAATTAATTTTTTCTTGAGAAAGGTTACAGGCATATCCAAAATTTGTGATTTTTAATATTTTTCTCATCATGCTTCTATTTGATTTAATGGCCTAATAACTAATGACTATAATTATTAGTCTTTCCAAATTTCTTTCATTTGCCTAATATACAGATAGCAAGATAGAGATAGGTAAATACAGATCGTTCTCCCTATCGCTATCTATGTGATATGTATTTCACTGTATACTCTTCACAAGACACAATATACCCACCTTTCAGAGTCATGAATATATTTTCGCCATCTATTTATTCTATTTTTTTTTTTAAATGGGGAAAAATTTATGAAAATCTAAAATAAGTTTTTAAGTGCTTTTTATGACTTTTAAGACACTATGTATACATAAGTATTTGATATTTAAAATTACCAGTGCTTCATGTTGGCCACATTAAGCAATCAATTCACATATTGATACATTTACAAGAGAAGAATTGATTTATTAGAGAAATCAAATAAGTTTATTCTTAAAAAACTAATTTTAAGATGAATATTTCTTTGAATTGTCAAACTGTTTTTCTTCATTTTAAACATTTTCAGGAGAATAAAATGGTACTTTTCTCACCTGTATTCACATTCTGGACAAGCAAAATGTCGTTCAGTTGTGTGTTTGTATAAAAGGTGATTCCTCAAGCCATGTGGATTGGGGCAAGTCATCTCACATAAAGGACACTTATAGGAATTCACTTAACGAAGGAGAAAGATGAAAACAACATTTCTAAAGATTTTCTTTTTATAAAATTCACATAAACAACATCAAAAGGAAACATTGCATAAATTTTATACTTTAATAAAGTTTATTTAAAATTATTTTTATTCAAATATTTCAGGCAACATTTGTTTTTGTGATTATCTAAAAAGAAAAATTATTTGCTGTATTTCAGAGAAAATAGGAAAGTGAATTTATTGCTTTTTTAAATACTATGGTGCACCAATACAAGAGCCTCTCGAGGTAGAGGCTTACTGAATAAGATTGTTTTTCAGATTCAGCGGAGAAAATAAGTGGTCCAGATTATGAGGATATGTAAGACAGATAATTGCTGACAAACATGGACCACTGTGTCCTCAATAAGATGTAATGTCAAAAGGACGATTTTCCCCATGACACTGCCTTTGTAACTACCTTCACTCTTCGGCAATGTTTATTGCTTCAAAAAGCAATGATTAGAATTGGAAAAAAGCAAACTTTTGAAAGTGAATTTATACATTTTCTTTGTTCTTGTGAATTTGCAACAAAAACAATAAGCATTATTAGATTGTTTATTTACACTATTATTTTGGCAAGACATCGGCTAATGACAATTCAAAATTTATAAAATGGTAAATAAGAATTTTTTTATAGTCAGTTCACATCTATATAAATAAAGTGCAGTGTATGCGTGTCCATTTCAATCTCAATAAACAACCTTAAGTAACAGGTAGAAACTACTGTAGATACACACAATTAAAAATTTCACTTTAAAGTTTAACTTTAATTTTGTTTTTCATCACAATTGTCATTGATATCATCTAATTAAACTGTGATTAAAACTTAACTGAGGCACATTATGTTGCTCATATGCTTTTTTTTTTTTTCCCCTAGCACACATACTGTAATATATTCAAAATATCAGACGATGCATTTCAGGCATGAGATGAACAAAAGTGAAAAGCAGATTTTCTTACCATGGATGCGAATATGATCCCTGAGTAATCGTTCAGTTTGAAATTTTTTATTGCAATGAGAACATTGGAACCATTGGGCTAGAATAGAAAATGAAAGCATTCTGGTAAACACACAAGATTAGCATTTCTGATATCATTCAGATTTTCAATAATCCCAATTCTCATAATTATATCATTCACAATCACTGTGCTGAGTAAGGATTGAACCATGTATTATCATCACATGGAGATTTATTTGGTTGGTGTCCACTTTACAAGTTTGCTTAGGATTCTCTTTTTTTTTATTTTTACAAATACACTGGTACAAAATAACCAAACAGCCAAGACAATATAAAAAAAACAGTAAAATGATAGCAAATCTTCCTTGATTTACACACATTATATATATATATATATATATATATATATATATATATATATATATATAATGAAATGGACTAATTCTGACAATTATTTTACTATATTTTCTGTTTATACATTATTTTTATAGATACAAATATATTTAAGTAAATTTTATGTTTATAATAAACAATATTAACTACATTTACCGGTCTGAATGATAAAGAAATTTCATAGAAAATATATGTTCTTTGAGAGGAATCGAACCTGTATCCTACACGGAACTATCATATAGCCTGACATGCTATACCATTCACCTACAGAGTAATTTGGCTTTGCTAACCAGATACTTCCTCTGTAGCTAAATGACAACAGCAAAGTGTCAGCAAATATTCCTGTTGTGATGTCCCGAGATCCTTGCTGTTTGCACAATATTCAGATTTGTATGCAGGTCACTAGTGGGACTGAAGTGTGAAATATGACACAAGCATAAAAACTGAATGAGGCTGTCAGATCCTCATACACTGAAATCAATGAGAAAAGCTATCTCTCTCTCTCTCTATATATATATATATATTAGTTCCCATAGAACTGTGTAAAATAAAAAAAAAAAAAACTCCGAGGGCTTTCCAGGAGTATGTTGAGAAGTTTCAAGGGCTGGTGCACATGTTCACAGAAAGTGAATGGTCATCAATTTCAGAAACACACACTTTTGAGATTAATCTTTTAACAGTCTGGCAGATGAGATGTTCAAAGAAAAGCTACATCTGGTCCCAATAATTCATGTCACATGGATCAGTTGCAAGCAATGGTGAAATCCAAGCGTTGAAGGCTAAAAAACACAACTGAATGCAGATCTGCTTATGTGAAGGTCACAAAAATTCTTGACTGCTGCACATTTCCTGTAAAGTATAACAGTTTTAATGGACAGAATGACAAACAGAAATTTTCACAAAAAGACACATTTTCGCTAAACCTACTACTCATGGTTTTTGTTGCACAGAATACAATGATAACATTTTTTCAGTTCATCTAGTTTAGCATTCATCTCCTATATTTATGGATTTATCTTTTGCAGATCTTCACATGGCCTTAGACTTTATGATGTGTGAAGTTCTGACTGTTCAGCTTTTTCTGCATAGTTGTCAGCTGACTTGAGCAAATCTTATGTGCAACTTTCAAGCTTGGTCTTCAGTTCTTCAATTTCCATAAGCATGGATTTCCATTTTTTGTCCAGCTGCTTCATCCTGTCTTTTTTTTCTTCTCAGCTTCAGTGTATTGGTTTTAGGCTTTTCTCACATTGGAAACACTACAAAAATTCTCAGCACCTCAAGCTGTGGCCAAATAGTCTGCTGTTTCATATCGTCAGTGGAAATTTCCTTATTGATTGAGAAAACTCACTCCACTGAGGCCTGTCCATGAGAGAGAACCAGCAATATGCGAACGACTTTCCAGTTTTCGATATTTTTTGTTGCTAGACAAAGAAGAGTAGAACAATGTGTCCAAACGGTCTTCATGTTGACTGAAATTCTTGAAAACAATATTTCCAGCAGCCACATCCTCTAACTCTTTGTACAGACTGATGATGTCATCACAATCAGACAAGCTGACTTATTTTCTGACTATCATGTGGAAAAGACATCTTTTTAGATTGTCTTCTGTGGCAATTTTTCTTTCACAAATGGATACAAGGTTCAGCCATGCAAGTGACTTTACAAGAGGGTATCTAAGGGGTGACTTTGCCAGAAGTTTCTTGATGGTGGTGATGAAAATTGTCTTTTGTTGCAATTGAATATGCAAACAGATCTTTTGTTGTCACATTTCCTTCTTTTTCATAGCCCTATCTGTCAGAAAACCACACTTGATCTTTAGCAACATCTTTGTGCATGTTGGGGTTTGACAAAATTCTTACAAATTCATTCTGTTTGGAAAATGTAATTATCTTTTTAGTATTTATCAATCCACCCACGAGGATAGAATGTGGCACAAGGCCGGTTTAATGTGGGTATCCCGAGCCCGTAAAATCGGCCAAAAATATAACCTTTTTTAACCCGCCTTGCGGATTCAGGCTCAATCTACCTCCCAAACAAAACCTTGCCCTTCGGCAAAGCTTTCGTCGGGTTTTCTCTCTGTTAATGCAGAGAGTTTAAAAGAACCACCGATTCGGAAGCTCACAAAGGCAGCGATACTACACTTTGATCATCAATGGAGGGCCAAGCAGCTTATCTTTTTAGTGTGTTCTTCCTTTTACATGTTAAAACAATCATCTGCAAGGAAAGGAAGCAAGTTTTTTGTTCTGATATTTTATCAGAAAAGGGTCAATGTCTTTCAAAGCAGACACAAAAATCTGCAGTTTCACTGGAAGTAAAACATCATACAAATTTAACGCAGAGAAAGACTTCATCTGGGACACTTTTCTGTTTTCTTAATTAAGTTCACAAATTTGTTGACATCTGGCCAAATGTCTAGGAGTTGTTCACATGTTTGGACATTTTCTAGACATCTATGGCAGAAAGACAAAAGTAAAAAAGGGACAGGGTTGCCAGATTGAACTTTTAATATAATAACCAAGCAATAAAAGTAGGTACCGCCACTAATTCATGATAGTTTTAAAATGAATTTTTATAAATGAAAACGCTTTCTTGAAGTTTTCATTTTAGCTTTAATTGAAAGCTAAAGGAAATTTACTATTTCCAGTAAGAAAAATACTTTGGTGTATTTCAAACAGAAATTATACTGATTAGAATCCATTTTTTTGTTTTTTCTAAAATAGCTGATTAGCACCCTTTTTGAGTTGTCTTTCATCAAAATGTCATTCTCTGTATTAAAAAAAATCTTCCAAAAATAAAATATACTTTTCTAGAACTTTATTTGAGGAATATGAGCTGATTTAAAGTATAATTAATCTGATTTGAAAAAAAAAAAAAAAAAAAATTATTTAAAATAACACAAATGCCTTTTTAAAGCAAACAGTAGTTGAGTTTTTTTTACTGACATTGTTATGTTTTACATAATTGACAAGGTGATGATAAGAGTGACTGTTGTTCTATGGAGAATTTATTTGTGAAACATAATTTAAGAAAATGACGTGAACACCTTTTTTTACATTTTTAAGTACTTAGTAATCTTAAAAATGTTGGAAAATATTCTCTGTAATCTAATCTTAAGAATACTGACTCTAAATTTACTGTAATTATTGCTCTTATTTTCTGATAATGTCATGTATGGTCAACCATACTTTCAAAAATAGGCACATAATATTTTATATACATAAAAATATTAAAAATTATTTTAAAAATCTTGATACAATTTGTATGAAACTTTTCAACTTTTGATTAGTAAATATAGTTTTCACTTAATAACAATATCACCTAACAAGATTACACTAATACAGAATTTAAATTTTTTTTTTAAATTATTATAACAAATTATTATATTTAAAAAAAAAAAAAAAATGAAGACAATTCTTGTAAAAATTCATTATTCATTGAAAATTTTTTTCTTAAGACAATAGTGTCCTTCTTAATAAAACTTATTTATAAAAGCAATTTAAAAGCTTTCTAATTAAGTAATATCAGTTTTATTGTATTTTTTATTTTATGATTCAGAGCAGATTTGAGAAATTAGTAGTTTGAAAAGAAACAAAAAGAATTTTATGATTTATATTCTCCAAAGAGTCTTGCTTTTAACTAATACAAAAGATTTGGGGATGAATATATAATTTCTCAAAATTTCATGAAAATAAGCAATTGGGAGTGTTAATATATGTCCAAAAAATTTTTTTTTACCAAGATTTTCTAAAACAAAAAATTTCAAAGATAATTTCATTCACTTGTGAATAAGTCCTGAAAGTTTCATTAAAATCGGACAATTATTTGATTTTTACAAGAATTTCCAAATCAATGTGTTTTTCACCAGAAAAAGGTGCTAAAACATTAAGTGTAAATATTACATCAACCACTAAAAAAAAAAAAAAAAAAAAAAGATTTTTAACCAAAATTTTGAACATGCTAGAAAGGACTAAAAAATTTAGTAAAACAATAAAAATACTTTGGTCTTTCCTCTTAATAATAACAAACTTATTGATGATAAAACTTTTTATTAAGTTTTGGGTCTTTCTTCACCATGCTATGCTGTTTTTTCAGCAAAAAAGTGGAGGTACCTAAATAAAAGCCAAATAAGTTTTATTTCATCATTTTTTTCACAATTATAACAAAAGCTAGAGATACAGGTCATTATTAGCCTGAAAAATTTAAAAATAAAATTCTTATTTTTTTTCAAAGACGCATTTTCTATCCTAAGACAGAATCAAAAGCACATTTTTTACTATCATCCTTCCTGTCTACATGTTTTCTTTGAGTCAAATCAGATTCTCAAACTTGTTACTTTTGGTAACAATTTAAACAAATGTACTTTACACATAGTTACACATTGACATGAACACCGAAAAGTATCTATTTTTTTTAGCATGAACTCACCCACTGTTGATGAGAGATCAAAAGGAATTTTTACTTTTGAAGAATAAAATTTTATTAATTCTTCAAATTTAAAAAAAAACACTGATGAAATTTTTGAGATTCTACTAAAATGCATTTTATAAAAAATAATTTATTTTAATTTCAACTCAAAATCCAATGAGTTTGAATAAAGAGATATTTGTCTCTAAGACCTTTTATCTTTGTTTTTCCTCTTTCCTTATTGAGTGAGAGTAACAGCTAGAAGACACGTGTTTATATTCTTTCTTCTTTTCTTACTCATCACTTAGCCAAGAAAATACAAAAGTATCTACAAAGTCATGAACTCATTCTAATCAAAGAAACAAACCACTGCTCACAATAATTGTCAAATATTACTGACGATGAAGAAAACATTTTTCTTAAAGGACAATTTTAGCTTATAAAAAAAGCCAGAGTTCTGGGATTTGGCATTTTGACTTTTGTGAATTGAGAAAAGGGATGTGTGGACGACCCAATTTAGAAAATTCCAGGACTTTTTTTAAGGAGCTTTTGGGCTGCTATACATACACACACACATATATATATATACACACACACAGGGTTGATTTATCAGGAACATGGCTTATTTGGGATGTGCCTGAAAACTACATCATAGATTGACCAAAGTCCTATGACTGAAATTGGGTAGATGCAATTGTTCAACTGAGCACACTGGTCTTGTTCAAATTGCTGATCATGACAGATTATGCATTCTCTACCAGAAACTGGAACTAAGGTCTACTCAGCATTAGTTAAAGTATAAACAGCAGGTAGACTCTGTGGGTATTGAATAAGCACAAATGTCCCCAAGCAGATGTCTGCAACAACAATTAGCTAGCCACCCCAGCAACTAGGTGTGCTCAGCAAACAAGAGTAACTGATCATATTATATATATTAAGTGTGTGTTGGGGTTTACCATTGGTAGATTTTCAATTGGTTAGAAGTTGAACTTAAAGGACAGAGTTTAAGCCTCATACAAGTAAATCATTCAGTGGAGGGACATGAAAACACACTGATTTCTGACTGTGTTCCCTTTCCATTTTTCTTTTGCAAATTATGAATTTGGGCTGTAATTTTTGTGTTTACATTTATTTTTATTTTTCTGCGCTGCATACTTACTTTCTTTCTTTTCTTTATTTTTATGATTAAGCTCCAAAACAACACCTGAACCCAGATTCATCTGATGAGAATTTTGTCTCTGCAGCAATCATTGCATGAATATATATTTTTTATTCCTATAAATGTTATACTTAATGGGTACATTTGTTTGAGAAGACATATCTGCTTTTTTTAAGCAGTCAAATGTCTACCATCTACCTAAGGGTAGAAAGTCTTAATACAGAAAATGTACCTCTGACAAAAACACACACTTCATCCAATATTTGTCAATATTATAGGATCTACAAAATTTTCCCGATGATAAATTTATTCTGAAGACTTCAGTACTAATTGTGCATTATAGAAATATCTTTATAAACCATATTTTTAGAAACTATGACAAGCCATACTCACTATCAGTTTGTCTTTCCAGATGGTCAAAGAATTTTGTACGATTTGCAAAAAGCCCTCCACAATTTGGGCAAGCCACCAATTTCTGTTGAGTGTGACTTCGTAAATGTTCCCTGAGTTTATGCTTACTTTTCACATTCACATCACAACCTAAAATGACAAAAAAAAAAAAAAAAAAAAAAAAAAAAAAAAAAAGAAATTCATGCAATTTCTAATAGGAATTAGAAAAAAAACATACTTACACATTGAAAATAATTTAAGAAAAATTGTCTTTGTTGTTAAAACAAAGAATTTACAATAATTCTTGACATTTTGTAATTTTCACACAGAGAAAACTGAAATAAAATCAAGAATGAAAGTTTCAAGTAAATTTATATTTAGAATATTCACCCAGTACTGAAAATTGACATCTCTGCGGTAAAATATAACATTGTTTCTTGGCCCCCACCTAAACATGCAGAAAATGCTTTGATATTTTTTCCAAAATTTAATTTTAGGAAGACGGAATCTTGGCTGCGATTTCAACGCAAAAAAAAGTGCGTACGCATATGTAGTGTTACATTCATACACAAAATTTTTACTGACAGAATGAAGAGGACATAAAAGTCTGCGAAAAAGGAAAGAGTTATCTCCCCTACATTCAAAACCAGCTTCTTTTTTAAATCATTTCTGTGACTAAGGCTTTTTCAGCCTAACAAAATCAGACACAGACAATGAAGATGTAATTAGGTTAAACTAATACAAAAAGGAAAATGAGTGAAATTCTAAATGAAGGAATTTTGATTAAAACGTCCTCACACTTGGTATTTAAAAATTGAGCATTTCCCTTAATTTAAACAAAAAAGGAATTACTGTTTTTGTGTAAAATACAAACAACTTCCTACTGCAAATATTTAATTCAAGTTATATTGCATCAATCTCTACTAGGAGACATTTGCTTTTAAAATAAACAAGTTAATTTGATAGGCAATAAAGTCACTTTTCAAAGAGAAGCAAATAAATATTTGATTTTACCTTCCCATAGACAATCGCAACCGCCTTTCAAATTATTACCATTTTGAAATGTGTCTGCATGAAAACTGACGTGACGATAAAAAAACTCAGGATTGTCATAAATTGCCTGAAAAGACAAGCAAAAAATTATTAATACATAATTTTGTATCAAAAGATAGACAATCAAAATTTTTAAAAAGACAGCTTGTTAATTTGGTAGCCAAGAAGGGTCAAGTGCTATTTAAACTGCTAGTTAGGTGAAGTTTCTTAATAATTTAGATAAAAGGAAAAAAAATAGTACCAAGGCATATTAATCCTAACAGTCAACCAAGATTTTATGATTCTAAAATAGGATGCATACAAGTTAATGTATGGATAATGTGTGTACTTATTTCATAGAAGCCATGTTTTGTTTTTTTCCAACAGTTATCAAGTAGATTCAAAACCTCTATTATAGAAATATTATAAGTGAACAAATTTCAATAAACTAGCAAGAGATTCATGGAAAAAAAGGTCAGGTCTTTTTGTAAGTGGGAGAGAGTCATTGCCAAATGTTCGTTTGAAGAATTTTATTTTTTTCAAGTTAAGGTAGGAGTTCAAAATGTGTAAGCAGAGGAAAAAGAAAAGTACAAGTCAATAGATGATTCCTAATCAAAAGAATAAAAATAATAATAGATTGTTTAATTTTTAATGAATTTAATGAAACAGCTTCATAAAAACAACAAAAAAAGTGCCTGGTCGATGCAACACTGAGATGATACACAAATTCAGTCAACTAATTCAAATATGAAAAAAACTAGCATCCACATGAAAACAGAAATTAACATCATTTGGTTTAACGATACAAAGAGCTATGAATGATAAGCAAGCAAAAAGGTGAGTGAACTGACAAAAAAAAACTGAATATATATATATATATATATATATATATATATATATATATATATATATATATATATATATATATATGTATATCTTACATTGAAACCATCCACATTGGAGTCGCTCGGGTAAATCTGGTATTAGATTACAACTTTGTCCATCCAATGTACAGGCATGTAAGCCGAGAGTTCTGATCAGTATATTGCCAATGCATTTTATTTTTGTATGAAAAGTGTGGAAGTAGACATGTCGAGTGAAATCAGAAATGTGACCAATCACTGCCACGTCACAGTTTTGCCATTTGCAATTGAAACAGCCAAGAACTGTAGAAAAAAAAAAAGAAAGAAAGAATGAGGAATGTACAAGACAAACAACATTAGTTACTAGAAAATGTTGGTAATATTTATTTTTATTATTTGGGGAATATTAAAATATTTCTAATATGTTACTTATATTTCTCCTCTTTTATATGCAATGTCCTTTCAGGATAAGGGCGATTATGGCTCTCCCCAATTTCCTGTCCCTTGCTCTAAATATCTTATAACCCTTTATTATCTTTGTCCCTGTTCTACTTCATTCATTAACCAAGTAACTAGATGTTTCCCACTTGCTTCTTTTGCTTTCAAGATGTCCCTTTGCAGAGACTTTCTTCTCTCATTGGGCATCTTGGAAATATCAATTCGCTTTCTGATAAAAGTACAAATTCCCTTCTTGTATATTTCCTTCTACAAAAATTAGCATGTTTATATGCATAAAAAAAAAAAAAAAAATATTGGTGTCTGATAATTATACTAAGCTTTTCCATTTATTAGTAAATATAATTTTTACTTAACATCACCTAAAAGGCACAAATACAGAATTTTTTAAAACTTTATAAATTATTTTAATTAAAAGTTTTAAAAAAATGAATATAATTCTTGTAAAAATCTATTATTCATCGGAATTTTTTTTTTTTTATTAAGATGATAGTTTCCATAATATATCTTATTGATAAAAAAGCAATTAAAAGTTTTTATAATTAAATAACGTCTTAATTTTCATTATTTACATTATTCGGACTAATGTCCTCATCTTTGTCGCCATATTTATCACAGCATTTCGGCCGTTGTACGCTCCAGCCTTGTTCAGGTGGTTGGAATTTCGAACTGAACCCTTTATTTTGCTCACTGGGGTAGCCTGTTCTAGTTCCACGTGCCATGTTTGATGGATGTCAGTTATTAGTTATCTCCTGCAAATTTCCCTCTGAAAGTTCTCCATTGCCTTAACCAGGTATTGAACTAACACTCTTTGGGTCCTGTCACTGGATCTAACCAACGCCTTTATCCACTGTGTCATGCATCTTAATTTTATTTTTAAGATACAGAGCAGATTTTCAGTAACTGTTTTTTCAGTTTTACAATAATAAAAATAAAACTGAGGATTTCAATTCTCTAAGAAGACCTGCTTTTAACTAATATGAACATTGCTTGGCATAAAATTTAGTTTACCGGAATTTCTTAAAATTAAATGGTGGGGGGTAACAGATAAAAAAAAAAAAAAAAAAAAAAATTTACCAAGATTTTCAAAAAAAAGAAGAAAAAAATTCTACAATAATTTAATTCATTAGTGAATAATTCCTGAAACTTTCATTAAAATCCGGTAATTATTTGACTTTTGCAAGAATTTCCAAATCAATGTGTTACCTTATCGGAAAAAAGCACTAAAATTCCATTTAAAAAAAGTGCACCTTGACAGCCAACCACGAGTTATCTGGTGTTGTTCATTTTCTGATTTTTTTTTTTTATCCTTGTGGGCGCCAACAACGAGTGGATTCCCAGTGATACTTTTTTTTTTTTTTAGTTCGAAGACAATGTTTAAAAAAAAAAAAAAAAGACTTCAGTTGAAGTTATAGATCAATTTAAACATTTTTATTGCCTAAGTTGGCTATTAAAGTTGGCATTTGAATTCGGATTTTCGTAATTGACCTCCAGAAGTCAACGTGTCAATAAGAAAAAAATGTAATAATTGAATTAAATTTTTAACAAACGAATCCCAGTTTTGTTTTTTTTTTTTTTCTTTTTGAAACACAGCAGCAGTACTAGAAAATTCTCGTGAGTAACTCACCTTGTTCTGGTGGGGTGACGTTGCTAATCAACGAGGAGAGATGCTCTGAAATGTGCTTAATGAAATCTTCCATGTCTTCTGTAATAAATTGACATTCTTCCCACTCACAAGGCAAATGTAAAATCTTCGGGTTAATCGGGATACTTGTTTTGGCCTTACGTAGATTCATTTTCAATTTCTTTTCAACTGAATTTGTTGTATCTTGACTGCTATTAAAAAAAAAGTAGAAGAAAAAAAACTAAAAAGACTGATTTCGCATTTTTAGAAGTTGATTTTGTTAGCATTTTCAAAATATAATTTTTTAACTGAATAATGTTAATGAATGAAAATATTAATATCAAATAAAATTAAATCTGATTAATTAATGTCATTAATGTTTTTTAATTATATTGCTTTTAGTTTAATTTTTAAAGTTAAAAAAAGGAAAACTTTTTTATAAATCTCAGCTTTCATCGTCTTTTTGGCAAAAATGAAACTAATTAAAATATCACGACATAAAATAAAACAGTAGAAACTTGTGAAATAAATCAAAAATTAAAAATAAATGTTTTTAAAATAAATTCAAAAAAGGTTTATTTCAGTTTTTAGGAAGAGAACATGGCAATCGAATATTCGTCCATTTGAAACAGCACAAAAAAAAGTGTTGTTTCTTTTTAAAAAGTAATAATTCAATCGTTTTTAAAATTGTTTCTTATAATTTATTGAATATAAATGACATTAAATTAAATTTATTTGACATTTAATTCCATTCTGAATTGTTATCAAAATAAAAAAAAATTATTTAAAAATGAGAGTATCAGAGAAAAACTATTTTCTGAAACCGATTTTTCAGAAAATACGACTAAACATTTTTATATTTAAAGTCTAAAAACGTTATATTTCAACGAAAATTAAATCTTCTAAATTATTTATTACCAAATAGATAAATAAAAAAGATTTGGGTTTTTTTGGGTTTTTTTTTTCGTTACAAAGAATTTAAAAGAAAGAAAAAGTTATTTTTTTTATTTTATTCTTTTTATGTTCAACGAAAATGAAAAAAATGTGCATATCAAGAATAAATAAAAACCAGTTTTGTTTAATTTTAAATAAAGATTTCATACTTTTATTAAATTCAACAATACTGTCGATTTTTTTAAAAGATTTTAATCAAATTAAAAAACATGAAAATTCCCAAACATGAACCTCGAGTAGAAAAAAAAATGGTGTTATAAAAATTAATAAAAACTAGTAAATATTTAAATTTGAAGGACTTTTTCCGTGCAAAAAAGAAAAATTAATCAAGAATGTGAAAATGGAAATATGCGTACCTGGACATTTTTATGGTTAAAAGTCGAAAATATTTATATATTTGTACTTAAGAAATGTTGGATGAATTACGGAAGGCAAAAATCTCCGCCAAAAATTAGTAAACAGTTTTCAAGGGAGATAATTCGTATGGCTTTAGCGATCAACTTCCGGTCTTTAAAAAAAAAACACTCAGGCTTTTGTTAGCAATAGAATGGACGATACGAAGAGCCACGATCGCCAAAAAAAGATAACAGAGAAAATGAGAACCAAGCTCTATTTATTTTTGCCTTCACCGATCAAAGTATCACGATGAGCTGTCAGAAAATTGGCTAACATCTGGAAAAATAAATAAAATGATTTACCATACACGCAACATAGTGTTGTTGTTGTAACATGATGATCGACAAGTCACAAATTTTATCAATATTTTTTTTAGTTCTCGTCAGAAAGACGATAGCTCTGTAATCTAGCGACTTGGGCTGCTTATAGCAAACTAAGTTGTTTTGTACAGGGTGTGGCCTGTTTTGTAAAATTTGTTCATCTTGCTCGTGGTTTTTCATAATGCGACGAGTGTGGTCGAAGACGGTTTCTGCAGGTGTTCTGACACGCCGCAGTTTTTTTTTTTAATAACATTTCGCCCCAAGCAAGGAGATAATGTCACTAAAGCTCAATGGGGTTACTGGTAGTGAAAAAGAAGGAAAAGACTTTAGTTAAGAAAAAGGACAATAGAACATGTTTCAGGAAGACAGAAGATGGCGGCGATTGACATTGCATTAAAATTTTTGAAGATTGTAGAGGAAATTGGAAGAATATTACATAGAAGAGAAGTCTGAGAGAAAAAATATCAGAATAGAACTTACAGTTGCATCTAGCTAGTTCAACAGTAAAATGGTAAGACCTAATTGCCAATCTAGTAGTACGTTTAAATTCATGCAGTCAAGGCATTAAGGAAGAAAGCTCATCAGAACAATTTCCATTAGAATATTTGTAGACAAAACATAGGGAATCCACATTACGGTGGTGGGAAAATGACTGAAGTTGAGATGCCAGGTCAGGACCGATAACATTACAAACCCTTTAGATTTTGTTGAGAATCTTTAGATATATCGCCAGAACACCAGACCAAAAAACAGCAGTATTCAATGCACGCACGAATGGTTGATTTATTGTGATTTTCTAAGCCCAGCTTAGACATGACACAAGGCTGAAAGTATGGGGCACCCAGTGAGGATCAGAATAGTAGATTTATAACTGTGCAAGGTGGATTCTAATGAGAAAAACTATCTTGCATGACACAGTGAGCCAAACCTAGCAGCAGATGCAGCAATTGATTTAATATAATAATCCCACTTCATGTCAGTGAAAAACATGAAACCAAGAAGGTGCAATCAGTTGCTTTCATGGAGGTTAGCATCAACCATGCTGAAGGGTGTGGTGGGGGAAATATGATTCTCTATAATAATTAAAGGATAGCAGTTTCGTTTTGGAGGCTTGTGGCATAAGCAAATGTATTTTTGCTAAATAAATAAATAAGCACTCTGTTTACAGCGTCAAAGGACTTGGTAAGATCTATGAAGACCAGAAACAGGCTTTGTTTTTGTTCATACGACTTCTCTTGGATTTGCTGTGCTATAGAAGGTTCATTTTCACTGGCAGTATTGTGTCCACAATGTGAGCATTCAGTCGAGACAGCAAAATCCCTACAAAGATTTTACATGCTGGCAAAAGTAAAGCTATACCATGATAATGCCCACAAATCTACATTATACCTTTATCTTTGTACAATGGTATCACGATCGCATCTTTCCAGTCCTTTCGAACTCTCCCAGTATTCCAGGTGTTCAGGATGAATCTATGCATGGTATCAGCCAAGTGATTGCTACCACACTGAACTATTTCAGCAAAAATGCTTTCCTTGACAGTAGCCACCTCTATATATACATAAATGTATATATACATACATACATATGTGTGCATAATAGCTGGCCATCCGCATTTGAGGATACCTGTCTACTAGGTCAGCTAGCCAATCCCTATTGCAGACACCCACTCAGGCACATTTGTGTTTGTTCAACATGCAGAGAGCCCACCTGTGGTTTATAATGCAACTATGCTGAGCGGACCTTAGTTACATTTTCTGGGAGAGAGCATATTATCTAGCATAATCAAAAAATCAATCTGAAGAAGGTCAGCACACTCAATCATGATGAATTGGGACTTTGTGGCAGCAGTCATTGGCGACCCCCAAGGGTTCTGTTTACCCAATGTCACTCACAAGCCTTGGGTTAACCTGTGGTATAGTTTCCAGGCACTTTCCAAAGGTGCCGCACGATGGGATCGCCCCACCCATTCCAGACCTATAACATCAGGAAGTCTCCTCCCTGACAAATCAAACATGGTGAGACTCGAACCTGGGTCTCATGGTCAAAAAGTGAATGTTCTAACCACTTGGCCACATGTCCATACATACATACAAGGCCCGGGAGCCACTCGAGGTAGAGGGTTACAGAGTAAGAGGCACCTAGAGTTGAACAGCTTAAGATTGTAGTGATCTGGAAAACATCCACTTGGGAGTCAATTCCACAGAGCAGTAGTTTGCAGGAAGAAGCTGTTTGAGTGGAATTTACTTGGAACATACATACATACATACATACATACATAATGACCAGCTGTTCTCGTTTTCCGTGCACACTTGTCTGCTAGGGCAATTAGCCAATCCATGGTGTAGAGACATGCTCAGGCCCATTTGTGTTTGTTCAACACCCACAGATCCCCCTAGTTTAAACTGCAATGATGCTGAGTGGATCTTAATTACAGTTTCTTGTAGAGAGCGTATAATCTGTTATGATCAGCAGTTTGAACAAGAGCATAATGCTGAAACCCTCGGTCATGATGACTGGTTACTTTATGCTAGCACACCCATCAAGGACTTCTGTCTACACAATTTAATTCACAAGGCTTAGGTCAACTTGTGGTATGGTTTTTCAGGCATATATACATGGCGTAAGACCACCTTTAAGACTAATAACTCCCAAAAGAACATTTCTATGTCGTTGATGATGTCTTAAATGACTCATAATACCTGAAATTGATTACAGTGGATTTTTCCAACAGCAATCTGATTATCTGGATGTTTTACTTTTATGATGCCAAATGACTTACAGACTTTGTCACAAATACTGCATGAAAAGTCTTGCTGGGTGTCATATTGGTAGATGGGAGTGTTTCTGTATCAAAGTTTGTGGCTGAGGAGACCTGCCTCCAGAAGTAGACAAGTCCACATACATCACACGAGGTGGACACTTTTGTGCCCCTCTCAGGAGGAGGGTTGACATTTTCCATATATCTACCAGCTCGTTTCAGCTCAGCATGAGCAACTCTATTATTCTTAAAATCTTTAACCCCAACAGCAATCAGATTTCTCAGCCTGATGTTAGATGTTTCCCAGGTATTAGTATCTACGTTCACCTTTTAAAGTGTGTCCTTGAATCATTTGTGCAGCTTGCATTGAAAATGCTTGCCTCGTACAAGCTCATCATACAGCACCTTTTACAGCAGGTAAGCGGACAAGGTAACCAGCCCATCTAAGTTTGTGCTTCATGATCATGGACTTAGTGCTCGTTATTTTAACCAGATGCAGGAGTGCTGCATCCAGCCCATCTGATCACCATGAGATCTTTAGTATAACTTGTAAGCATTGGGTGGGTTGTTAAGCTGATTGATTACAGGTAAATCTGTAGGAGCTCTTTGACAACAGCAGAGCTTACAATAGTCTTGCGGTTCAAAACATTGCAAAAATGTTGTCGCTGTCTGATCTTAATTTTGTCTGGATTCCACAAAAGCACACTGTCAGTCTTTGCACACAAAGACAGAAGATAGCTGACCATAGAAAATACATAGTTGATAGCACAAAAACATAGTCTTGCTTATCGGCAGATGTCTGAATTTTGTGGGGGTTTTTGTGACATTATGTATCCTTGACTGCTTGTAACACATGCTAGACTCTTGCTTTACACTCTTTCATATATTTTTTTTTTTATATTAACCCTTCCACTTTTGCATACTAAACAAGAAAGTAACTTATTAAGTGCCAATTTCTTTACATTCAATATCTTTTCTATAAGGCTTCATTCTTTTTAAACTAATCCTGAGGTCTTCTTTTTTACAAAACCCAGCGTAGAGAAAGCAGCCTCATGGAGTTACTAACTAAAATTTACAGATGGATCATCAGAGTTAATAAGGATAGTTGCTTAGACTGCTTCTTGATATTCTTAAAGCTTACCAGGGCAGTTTAGTTTGGATACATCAATCAACTTAGATGCCTTCATGCTACTGCACTTCATCTTTCTACACAGAGATTGACAGACAGGCTAGTAGGAGCCTGTGGTCCCACCAACATTCAGCCCTTTGCATGCAATGGATAGATTAGGTCTAACTCCTGGCAAGACTATAATATGAGTAGCCCATCTGCATTACATTTACCCATTCCATGTCGCCATATGCTATCAGGATGTAACAATGAACTCTGGTCATGTCCTATACAGGCATTAAGTCCCCCTCACTCGGAAGTACAAATTTGTTACCCTTATTCACATTTCTCAAATTTTCCTAAGATCACCATAGAAGCTGTTTATTTATTCATGGGCAGTGACAAGAGTAGGTGCATATATCCTAATCACTGTTATGAATTGTCTCGGATTAAGTTGCAGTTTCATTATGTGGTTGGAGAAACCATGAGAAAGTTTTGTTAAACATTGTATTAAGTGCATTTTAACAATAAAACCAACACCTGGATGACTGTCCTTTGTAAAACAGAGTTTAGCCAGACTGTGGTTCTAATACCTGGCTATCACCAGGAAGCCTCATTTCTGAAAGTGCAACTAAGTCAAGATTGTATAGAGACAGTTACCTATAAATAAGAGCAGAGTTTCGCTCAGAATGAGCAAATCTCATCAAGTCAAAAAAAGGTGCATACATTCCAGCATCTGATCTTAAAATTCAATAATTTTATATTTTTGATGAAGTCCT